GTTGGGACACACAAAAGCATGGTCTGAACTCTTCCTGGAATTGACCAGGAAAATTTTCACCTTATTATTTCGTCTTTTTATTTCAAATAATATTTCTTGAGAATGTATAGCTAGGTAAAATTACTGTGCTGCGGGTCTCTCTGTTCTACTGTTTGGCTGTGAAACATGGCCATTAAAGGTAGAGGATATGAGGGAGCTTCTAGTGTTTGACTACAGTTACCTTCATAGCATAGGCCGTGTGTCGTGGTTTCACCTCACTAGCGACGCAGAAGTCAGGTGTAGAGTTTTAGGAAGTATCGAAAATTTAGTTGGTGAAGGTTGCGAACCTTAATCGGTTGAGATGGCTGGAATATGTGTTAAGCATGCCTAGTTACCGTCTGCATCGTCGTGCGATGTTAGCCGAAGTAGGTTCAAGCTGTAAAAAGGCTCGGGGAGGCTATACTAAAATATAACACCATTGAATAAAGTCGTTGACTGCTGATCTAAGCCATGTGGGAAGATGTAGACTGGTTGTTTGCCGTCCAGTGGTTGGGGACTTAAGGTGATGTGGCTGAGAACCGATATCAGTGGCGCAGATGCATACACACTCATCATCCTCATCTTAATTGCTATGCCTAATCTCATCTTTTTCTCTTTTCCCCTTCCTCTCTTTCACCACTTTCTTCCGCTTTTGACATATTTTTCTTTATTTCTTCATCGTTCATCCTCTTGCTTTGTTGTTTGATGTGCTGACATGAGGTGTGGCGACTTGGACCGTTATGCAGTAGTGCCTGATCCTATGTCCATAATGATGATGGTGATAATTCCACAATGCACAAACTTCTCATCGATATATTTAAAAATACTCGATGCTTAGGTTTAGTTTCTGGTAATTTATCTTCAGGAGATCTGACAAATATGAACAGCTAATCATTAGGTCATTCGAAGAAAAAGTGTGCACTTCGTAAATTTTCAAAGCTTAATAAGGAAGTGTAATTTTCCTGAAAGGAAGTGAAATTTGTTTTTTTCTCAGTGCTAAGGTAAATTTTTAAAATCTTGGGTTCATGTGTATAGGACTTGGTAGTTGTATTCAAATTGATAAAAAGTCTGAATATGTTTCTCGTGTTTAGTTATACTTAATTCTTTACAAGATTTATATTTTAGTCTAGGCGTAACAATTTTTATTCTGTCTTTTATTTTATTTCTGTTACGATGCTAAGATGTGAAAACGAACGATAATAATTGACAGTTGAAAATAGAGGGTTAAGACGGTTCAACCCAAGTGATTCGCAGAGGGAAATCAAAAGCTTGGTAATCAACTGACGTTACACTATCTCAAAGTGAAAACGTTTATTAGTATTAATAAAAACGTTTCCTATTTATACAGTTTACAGTAACCTTGAAAGACAAGGAATAATTAGTACGTTTAAAGAGGCAGGAACCAAGCAGAACTCTAGCGCGTCATAAAATGTGGCCCACATGTGGGAAAAAGAGCGCAAAGAAAAACACTTTAAAATGTACAGATGGCAAGTGTATCAAGTTGAAAAGTGGAGAAAAGAAATCATAGGGTACGGAAAAATGATTTAAAGAAAGTGATAATCGACAAAATTTAGGTATGAGTGCATTTGTGATCCACCGTAAGGAATATTTTCTGGAGTCTTTAAGCACTACCATCAACATAGGACTGGAGATTACTGTACAACGGTTCAACTTGCCACACCTCATATCAGCTTAACAAGTAACAAAGAAATAAGATGAAAAATGAAGAAAGAGGGGAAAACTGACCAAAAGCAGCAGAAAGTATTGAGAGAGATAAAGGAGGAATAAGAAAATACTTAGACAAACAGATAGAAGAAATCAACGTAGAACTTTGAACACAAGCGCATCGATTTCATTTGACACACCTAACAGTAGTATACAAAGAAAAAGCGGATAGAAAAAGACCCATATATAAGTAGACACAGTTGTGTGAAAATATTCAGGCTTAAAAGATGTCAAGCAGTGAATACGCTTGGGTCGTTGTGACCGATTTTCAACCATTTTACCAAGAGTCCTCAGATATTGATTCTTTTCGCCTCAGGAGCCCCACCCAGGCAGTCTACATCTCTCTTCAAGACTCAGACTAACAGTCATAGACTTCATTGACCACTTTGAATCTTCGCTCTTTCAACGTAATTTAACTTCGTCTCGCATGGCATGCTGAGGTAGGTGGTGGTTCGCCATGCTCAGTACATATCCAAACCAACTCAGTCGACTAAGGTTCATAGCCTCATTCATCTACTTGCCTGTCTTGCCTAGTACCCTTCACTTAACCTCAACATTTCTCACACTGTGATTCTGTAGTGGGCACTGCTGATCAGAATAGATATACGTAGTATTTTCGGGAGGGTGGCAGAAATCATAGGGAATTACCGGCAGGGAGTAAGGATTCTGCCTCAGAGAAGCTCAAGAAACAATGTGTGCTTATTAGGAGCCAATCAAGAAAGAAGCAGAAGAGAAAATGAAGCACATTGTGCAAAAGACTGTCTTAGCGGAAGGTGTACAGTACTTGATGACTAGTTTACAATACGTCAATGATAAACACTCCTTCCTGCGTCTTTGTGTTGTCATTTTCTACAATTCCACCAAACGCGAGCAATGCTACGATGACGCATGTGATCAAAAACCTTTAACCACTTCAAATCTGCTTCTGGTAATGGCCATGTATTACAGCTGTATAAAAGGATAGAACGAACTGCATTCCTTTGTACCATTGACGTCGATTCCTAGCCATATCGCCTAGAATTTCCAACCACTGTTTTTTATTGTTGCGTAGACCCCAAGCGGGAAGTTTATGTTTACCGAAATGGCTCAGATCAACAGTCAACGACTTTGCATAGTGTTACCATCACTTTTAGATGTCATATGTCATAGAGTTACAAAGCAGGATCCAATCAATCCGAGACGTCACTTATACGTGAAGCTTTTGTTCTAAGCAACTCGTAGCTTCTTGTCCAACCAAATCCTACTCTAGCTAATACTGTGCGTAAATTAGGATGTGTTACACACTTCCAAACCTTGCTCAATTGATAAATCTTCACAACTTTATCATAAGTTTACAAATACTGGTTTTTTCAAAAGTTGAGTTTAATGTTTCTGTATGCGTAAACACGTAAGGTAGTGTTATACTCATTCTGGTGACTAGCAGTTAAATCCATGATGCGCGTTTCGCCTGGTTTGCGACTTTTCAGCTGGATATACCTGCACCCCAGTGAGTCATGTTGTTCCTACTGAGACTTCATCCTAGTACCCATTGCTTCGAACCGTTACTATACTCTTTCAAATAGCTAGACTCCTTTTGGTATATGAGCTTCTACGCCTATGAATACCACATCATGAATATTCAGCAGTATCTAGGCATTTGCATAGGCATCATCTGTCAACAGAGGTGGAGTAGCTTGACCCAGCATAATAACGAAAAATTGTAAGTATCATAGCAACGCAAGCTAGTGTTTTTTGATGTAGTCGGAAAGGGTTCCTTCATGGTATCATTTTAAATGTTCTTATTAATATAATGTTATTTGTCCATTGGGTTCCTAGTGGAAAATACGGATTCGGTAGCTCGTTGCCATTTCACTCTCTTATCTCCAGTCTTTTCCACCTGGCTCCACCGATTCCCCCAATCTTTCATTTCTTCCTCACACCATCTCCTCCATGTCACCTTCGCCGCAGACGCCCAACTTGTCGTTTCCCATTTGAATTCCACTCGAGGGCCTCGTCTGGTCTGACTGCATGTCCAGTCCAGTCCAGTCCGATCCAATCCAATCCAACTCCACATTTTCCTACAGATTGGTTGAGCGATGGGTTCTTGGCTGGTTAGTTACCAGCCAGAGTGAGTTCCTTCTTGCTTATTCTTTCCCATCATCTATCTGATCTTCAGTCTCAGTATCGAGTGAGCGTAGGCGCCAGCTGCTCATGTATGTCTGTAGTTTGTTCCAAATGCCGCCTCACGTAACACACCACCAAGTCTCTCAACCATCACATAGAAGCACTGACTTACTTGACTGACATTAGTGTTCGAAATCCGCATCTTCTTCACACTTTATTCTGAGTGGAGTGGAGTAGAGTGCAGTAAAGTAGGTCTCCACACTGATTTCAGATTAATGAAGGAATCCCTGTCTTACTGTGCTTCCAATCCTGGCTGCTTTGACCTTCTCATCTGTGCCACTGCCACCGCCGACGCCTGTAGTTGAGACGATGCTGTCATGCCTAGGTAGGTGAAAGAGACAACTTCCTTCAGATCTCTCTCACCGATGATGATTGGTGCTTGTTGTTGTTGGTGGTGGTGGTTGAGTATCTTCATCACCTCTATCTCCTCTACGTTCGCCTGGAGTCAGTCTCGTCTTCGCTACCTCGCCTCGCCTCGCCTCGTCTGCTAACTTGTTAGTTTACGCATGTAGATCTTCGAGTTTTTGTGACCAGGCATTAAACATAAAATACTCATTGGCGATGAAATCCAAATCTTCTTCTGGGGTCTTCCCATCGGTTTAACCAGTGTATGCCCATCTTCTCGCTCTTCACAGTTTTCATGATCCAGTTTTGTCTAGTCCAGTCGACCACAATCAGGAAGATCATCGATGATAGTAGGCAATCTTGTCTTAATGTAGACAAGTTATATCTACCCATAGTTTTTATGTTACACTTTAGTTACGCATGTTTACACAATCAGTTGGGTAAGTTCAACGAACGCCAAGTAATTGTCGAAAGTAATTCTTTTTTTTCTCCGCTTTAGTCACCTGAAAAATACTCGCAATCTTTGTAGCGATACCGATGTTTTGAATTCTCACCTCGGAATTGAAGTAAAAAAAATAGGCTAACAATAATTTTTGATTCGCCTCTAGACAGTATAAATTTCAAATTATGACTTTAAATTAAATTAAGCTAGAACGTGTTATTCGTCTGATTAAAACACAAGATGACCTTGAAAAGTGTTTATCGTTAGTCCATGCATATTTGTACAAAATATAATATATTGATTAGTACAAGTTTTTATATATATAAAGTGTTAATTGTATGAGGTGTACATTTTGACTGATCTGCATACTTTGATAGTTTATCCACATTAACTAAGCTAGATATATTTCACTGATCAATTGTATCAGTTTAGTTTAAACACTTCTACTATTATCATTATGTTGTTGAATGTTGAAGTCATGTGGCAGAACTCAACTCTTTTGAAGAGTATATTATTCACAAAGCGTTATGGCAAGTTGATTATGTATTTGTGTAAAAATTTGCTAGGGGAATTTGTTTTGTTTTTTTAAGAAAAAGATTTGCGCTACCGCTGAACACTTTAAAAATTCTACTCTTCATTTGGTTTTGTTCTCTTAATTAATCATACAGCTATGTCTACTGATGTCAAAAGTCTTCTGACCAAGAAACATTTGGATTTTTGGGATCTGGTAATATGTCTCAAGCGCTTGTCAAGGGTTTCTTATCCTCTGGTAAGTCCTTCTTGTTCTTCTTCCCTTCCAGTTCAAGGTCAGGCATTATAATAATAATAATAATTATTATTATTACCTTAGAATATTGTATATTCTAGGTCGTTTTATTGGTAGAGTTATACTTTTCATGCTAGACAGCATCGTCGGTGCGAAAATTTGGAAGGCAGTGGGCTTTGAAAATGTATCTGTAAATAAAACGGAACGCTGTTTGTTTTTGTTGTGGTGAACATTATTGTCTGATGAGTCCTAAATAGGACGAAACGTACCTCCTGCATTCTGCTGCTAGCCACCACCAGGTGTATTATAACAATGATTGTCTATTGTCTAAACGTTCTGATAATCTGATCTTGCGGTTCATACCTTCTTAGCTTCATATTTCATACTAATACCGAAGGGAAGGTGCGCTATACGACATCGATTTAACGAGTCCGTTATAATAATAACGATAATAATAATAATAATAATAATAATAGCATTGATAACGGCTTTATTCCGTAAGAAATTTCGAGAATACGCTACGGAATTTTCAGCATGTCATGTAGTATCGATTAGAGAGAATTAGTGTACATGCATATATAATACGACGAAATGATTAGAAATTCCATGTAAAAGATAAGAATGTTTACTCCATCTACGACAGTTTTGAAGATGCAGAGTTAACGTAAATAAACAATGACATTAGCAATTATATTTGTGATACACAAGTATCATGGATATTAACATAGGATATAGGATTGAGTCTAGTAGTGAGCTTTCTGCCCTGATGCTTAGTAGTATGCCTACACACCTGGAAGATGGCGAGAACTAGCGATTGAATCTCGAGGAACTCGAAGGTTGAGTTTTGTGGATTCACCATATTGTCGGGGAGAGGTTGAGTGAATAATGTGACCGGAGTCCTGTATGCGTGTCTGACAAACACAGCACACGTGTATGGCCTGAGTTGCTATAGTTTTGGCCAATGAAACTTGTCGGGTAAGTTGACGGAGGGTGTGGAGATTGTAGGCTGCAATGTGTAACTTTGAGTGTGATTTAAGGAGACCAGTGACGGTGCTCTGTGGATCCAGATCGTTGTCGAAAGCTTCATTGTTCGAAGGAATTAAAGATGATGTAGGATTGTTAAGTGAGAGACATGAAGGAAGATTAGAAGGTAAGGATGAGGGGGAGAGAGAGAGAGGGAGAGGTGTATAGTGGTTTGAGGGAAGTTGAGCGTTGACAGAGTTGTGATGAGGGTGGTTGAAGTTTTGCGACTGCCTACACCGTGGAGGACTAGGTCTTCTCGAGGTGCCTGGATTTCTCCGTGTCCGGAGATGTCCCAGTGGACATCTGCTTGAGACCGGTGACGTACTGCCTTTTTGATGCCACGAAAATTGGCCTGGATGATGGAAGGTGTAGTTAGACTTACATGCCGTGGTTTTTGGTCACCACTGATCATTGATGACTGATCTAAGTCATCATAATGCATCAGTTCTTTGTTTAGAAACATGTTGAGGGTAAGGTTAACCCTTTTTTGTTTAACCACTATCCAACAGACCTTTGTTGTATGGAAGGACTTTGAAGGGACAAGTGTTTGACCAGGATAGCTTGTTGGGTCATCGTGGTATACAAGCCCGAGGACCACATCAAGGTAGCAGCTATTGGTCAGGTAATAGTTTAATAACAGTAAGCTGTGTGGTTTTTAGTTAGTTGATCTCCAACATTTTCCTCTTTGCACAGGAGAGGAGGTAAATACGTACGGTATTGTGGAGTTTTTATGTTTGGCAGTACCTCCATAAACGCTTACGTAGTTGGCCGTGATTTTGCCTGAGAACTGACACGTAGGGAGAGGTTTGAATGAAGAGTATGCTGGTCATTTGATAAAATGTCTCTTGTCAGATGTTTACATGAGTTAATATGTTTGTTTATTGACAACAGTTTAAATTGTAGTGTTTAGAGGTACATGAGTGTAGTTCTGCTGACAATCTTCAAAGTTCTACTGAAAGTAGCATAGTCAGTGTTTAGCAACCCGGGGAAGAATGAAAGAGGCGAGGGAAGATGCAAGAGTTTATAAAACACTGGAGAAGAGACTGAGTTATAGCAGCAGATGTTCTGAGCTTCGTAATCTAGTAAGTTGGGTGGAATATTCTTATGGAAAACTAGTTAGATATGAGGGGATAATGAAATGTTCAAAGAATACAGAATGCCACTGAAGTACAATGCGTTTGTACACACACATGGCATTTGTCAGTTTATACGTATAATTTGACTTTATGATGTAGTTGTTTATGCAGTATGTTGTGTGATTTAGTTATTTAAATCTCAATGCGTCATACAAACATGTTTCCATCATTGTTTGTACACCGTAACCTTCTTGTCTATTATAGCCTAAGTAGATTCATCGAACGTTCCACATGTTTTGAAATATCTTTATAACCTCTATAGCATACGGGTTAGGTAATACAACTCGAAACCGGATAGCAAGTTGAAATTCACTCAGCAATCTTGTGCAGATTCGTTCAGTAGACAATAAGACACACCTGTTGTGTAAGGAGTAATGATACTACCTTGCTGCCCAAACCTCGTTAGGTATAGTGGGGTTCGAACCCATCACCCACTGGTTGAAAGTCAACTGTTTATACGAATGCACCATGACTCCATGTGGAAATAAGTAATCTACTAGAAAGCAGAACAAAAAGATGGTAGCGCATACACGAACGATTACGTAACAATCTGAAAGGTGATGGAAGCATCATAGAAGTCATAGGTCCGAGTCCTCTCGTGAACCAGATTTTCATTTCACTCTCAATCATCATCCAGTAATAATATTACGAATCTGACAAACCATGACAACTCAGTTAGTGAATTTTTCTAGCTTTTAGGAATCGTAGTTTTCGAAACTATCCCATCTGATCAAAGGAAAACACATGATTGCAGCGAAGAAAAATTCTTTTTTTCGACAAAATTATTGTTTTAACTATGCATTCGTAAATAAATCGTAAAAACGATGGAGTATTGTAGAGTAATTTCCGGTCAAAGATCAATATAAACTGCATTACAAAAGATAGTTACGTAATGGGGGAATAAACAAGATGGTTACAAAAACAAAAATGTTTACGTCATATGTGGGCTATTTAGGGTGATCGGTAATCTACAATGGCCGTAGCAAAGAAAGAGGTTGTACATACTACTTTTGAATACGTAATGATGGTTTGAATTTTTGAATGGCTTATGCTTCAGCTACGCTCAGACGTCTTAGCCTTCGAGTGACTTGGTCACACTTTGTACAGAATTTTGAAGGATTTATCAACAGCTAAATGACGACGCTGCATGCCAAATGATTTTCAATGAAAAGCTCAGTGATGCCTCTGAAGTGAAGACAGGAAGGAGAGAGACAAGGTTGCCGCCTACTATCACCCATCATCTTTCTGATGGTGGTCGACTGGACTAGACAAAACTGGATCATGAGAACTGTGAAGAGCGAGAAGATGGGCATACACTGGTTAAACCGATGGGAAGACCCCAGAAGAAGATTTGGATTTCATCGCCAATGAGTATTTTATGTTTAATGCCTGGTCACAAAAACTCGAAGATCTACATACGTAAACTAACAAGTTAGCAGACGAGGCGAGGCGAGGCGAGGTAGCGAAGACGAGACTGACTTCAGGCGAACGTAGAGGAGATAGAGGTGAAGATACCCAGTCAGACCAGACGAGGCCCTCGAGTGGAATTCAAATGGGAAACGACAAGTTGGGCGTCTGCGGCGAAGGTGACATGGAGGAGATGGTGTGAGGAAGAAATGAAAGATTGGGGGAATCGGTGGAGCCAGGTGGAAAAGACTGGAGATAAGAGAGTGAAATGGCGACGTGCTACTGAATCCCTATGTTCCATTAGGAACCCAGGTGATAGATAATAATAATAAGTTCGATAGGATTGAAATGTCCTGAGTTTACTAAGTGTTCTGCTACAGAGGTGAGGATGCATTTGCGTTTTCCCTTGTGATCCAGGTTAGGTAGTGTTCGAGAGGACTTTTCGTAAGCTGGCTTACAGTATAGTTGATGTAGTCTGGTTCACAAGAGCAAATAAACTGATATACACACACTGATGTGGCCCAATGCTCCGGCTTATCCTTTGTTAACTGACAAATGAGTTTCTGACAGGAGAATGTGATTCTAAGTTTGGTAGCAAAGAATGTTCTGTTTATGGACTTTGAAAGTCTCTTTCTAGGTATATCTGGCGCCTTAACTCTCTTGAATTCGAGGTTCAACAGTAAAATATTTTTCGGATAAGTATGCAAGCGTTCCGTGACGTTTCTCAACTTTGAATTTTTATCTATAAATTTCAGTTAGTAATCATTCTTTATCAGGATTTCTCTCAAGTTTTCTAGTTCACCTTCCATGGTATCCTCTGTATATATTGTTTGTATTCTTCAGGAGACTGAATTGATAAGATTCCTTTATCTGCTTAAGGGAATACAACTGGACTTTCAGTAAATCGATATCTGTAGACTGAATTGTCATCTTTCCTTTGAAATTGGACATGGATGAAATGAAATTTCAGGTTTGATTATGCTTCTAGAGTCGAAGGGTTGGACACTATTGAAAATTTGAAGCAGATTTCGAGATTCGTATTGTCGTTACAATTAATAAATGTATCATCTATGCATCTTTTGTAGATACGAAACTAGTTGACTATTTTCGATAATGTCTTGTCTTCCAGGCCTGCCATAAACCAATCAGATTAGAGGTGATCGTATGACCGTGTGAGAGATTAAAAATGAAACAAGGATCATTATCAAAGTGATAATTTGGGAATAATTATTAATCATGTGATTAACATAATAAGAGAAAGAGATTTCAGACCAAAATACGATCAAAGTTTGTATATCCTTCTTCTTTGCATAAAAATCAGGTTTCACTTGGTAAATGCTCAATACTTCTGGTTATGAAATAATGCGTCAAAGATGACTGAGGCAGCGTTGTGACCATACCCAACAAAATTTTCAAGTATTGAAGTATGTATTAATTTGCACTCTCCTGTTGACTGCTAGACGGTATAATGATACAAAGTATATTCGAAAAGAGAACATTTTATAAGAACAATATTTAGCTAGTAAACAAGTAGACCAAATTAAGGTGGTTCAAAGAAGCTATTTGTCCTTCATGCATCCACACATCTGTTATTAGCTGAACAAGACAACCCGAAGAACATCAGTAAAAATATCTTTCCTAAAAAAGACCTGCTTTGAAGTTTCTTTAGCGGTTAGATTTGTTTTACGGGGTAGGGTTGCTAGCCCTATGCCCAACCTTCCCTCTTTACCCGGGCTTAGGACCGGCTAGTAACTAGTGAACTAGTTAACCAGGAGAGGTTAGTCAGTGCTCCTGTATGGTTCAGAGACTTGGCGCGTCACGAAAGGCATTTCCAATAAACTACAGACATTCATCAACAACTGCTTACGCCCGCTACTGAAGATCAGATGGCCAGAAAGAATAAGCAACAAGGAACTCTGGGAACGAACCAATCAAGAACCTATCACGCAACAAATATGCAGGAAGAAGTGGAGATGGATTGGCCATGCACTGAGAAGGCCGACTGAGGACATCACGCGTCAGGCCAGTCCCTCGAGTGGAATCCCCATGGGAAGCGACGAGTTGGACGTCCGAGGGTGACATGGAGGAGGTCGTGCGAGGAGGAAATGAGAGCTTGTGGGCTGTCGTGGAACCAGGTTCAAAAGATCTCAGAGAACAGGATGAAATGGAGACGTGCTACTGAAGCCCTATGTTCCACTAGGAACCCAAGAGACTAATAATAGTAATAATAATAATAATAATAATAATAATAAAGACCTAGAGTGGTTTCCTCAGATTTTCTGTTCTATTAGTGGAAGCGTTTTTACCCTATTACTTAGACATTTAACCAAACCTCCTTTAATTGAGATGGGGTGAAATGATTTGAAGTCCAAGTATAAATTCGATTATAGTCCCTGAACTTCCAAACTATCCTTGTTTAATCTTGCAATCAATCCAATCTTGTTAATTCATCTTCATCACTTTCTATATCACAGGTGAGTTGAATTATGTTCACTAGTGAATTTATCTGTTTCAAGAACACGCTTATAATGCTCCGATCTTAGTACTGTTGGTATGTCATTTAGATATTTAGACAATACCTTCAAAATGAACTAAATGTTTGAAGGAATATCCATTCCCAACTTTCCATAAATAAGCCGGCGATGTTAGGCGAGATTAATAATCCCATGGTAACCTCGTCAGTTTGCTTTTATACTTTGTTTTAGAGAGATAGATTGATAACCGAGTCTTTGATCACCAAATCAACACCAAGTACATGCAGCAGGAATAACTCTTCATCTTTCCCAGATATACGGGGAATTCTACAACCCTTGTCACAAAGAAGAAGAGAAAATTAGGAATATATAAACTCTGTCTCAAAACTGATATGAATATGGACAATAAATTATATCCGAAACATTATCCAGTAAATGAATACTGTCCCTTCACTGTGTAACACATCTGACAAACAGACTAAAATGAACATCGAGTTATAATGTTCACGATGGATCAATAGCTGAGCCTTGAGCTTTAGTCTTAATTAGAAAATTGTTTGACCACTCCTTAGTAGGTCAGTTCCATTGTTAGTTATTATTCAGTTGTCTGCCGAATTGTTTTGTACATATATAAATCTGTGTCATTAACTTATTTGCCAGTATTTCTTGAATTTTTAGGTATAATTGACGGTTCTCAAATTACAATGACAGATCGTTACGGTCTATCATTTCCAGATGCTGAGGTAAGCATTTGTTTTATACAGTTCATGCGATTTATAAATATATTTCATTGATGACGAGTTTATGCATTACAGAATGAACTAGTGTGTATTGAATATTTATATTCAATTATGAGTTTTAATTCTGGTAATATTTTGCCACGAGAACTGAAGATCCTGAGTTCACTTCCTGGCGGGCTCATGGGGGCATACTGTTGAGGAGTTCCATTCTGGGACGAAACATCTGTTCAGAGCTCCCAGGTTTTCAAAATGATGTCTGTGATGAATATCACCCCAAACTAACTTACCATCTAGCGCTTACCAGTGACACGCTTTGAGATGGATATCTTAAAGTTCTAATGAAAATCCGTTTCTGTTTTGTCTTGGTACTTGTAGTTTCCATTGATATACAAAATCGAAGTGCTTAACCTCTGTTGGCAGATGGGTTCCTATGCGAATGCCTCAATACCACCGGATATCCATGGTATTATACTCATCTCGGCGACTAGCAGTCGGACCCAGGATGCGCTTTTCGTCCTATTTGGGACTCGTCAGCTTGAAGTACCTGCACCACAGCAAGTGATTTTGTTCTCACTGGGACTCGAACTCTGTGCCCATCACTTCGTTCGAAGGACGCGCTTTTAGTCCTGGATTCCACTGCTAGTCACAGAGATAAAGAAAAGCTGTAACATTTGAGGTGAACCAGTCGGAAGTGAAGCGGGTGTCAGCTGAAGACCTTGGTGAACCATTGAGCTCTTGTCACCCCATAGCTGAATGTTTGGTGCTTTCATCACGAGACCTGAAGTTTCCGAGTTCGACCCCTGGTGTATCGGAGTTGTGGGCGCATAATTCTTCCAAGCCCTATACTAGGACGAAACAGCTGTCCAGTGCTCACAGGGTTTTAATGTTTCTCCAACTAATGTCAACCAGTGATGAATACCAACTTAAACATAAAATCTCCATTCACCTCAAAATATGTTACACTTTTATTTACAAAGCGTTTATGAAGGTAGTTCTTTCACGATGAAATGACTGCTGAGTGTTTATCCATTATGACAGTAAGATTAGAGCGTTAGACATACTTCTTTTGAACGCACCCTAGTAGCTTGAAATTGTAGGCTGGTAAGTCTTCAGTTACACACCAATTCCGTATTTTTTCGCCCTTTTTGCTTGGTTTGGTCGAATTCCTCACTATATTATTCTGAATACCATTTCAAGGAGAATCTAAGTGACACGGGATCATCATTGAGTGTTCTGTAGTCCAGTTTTCTCCTAATCAGTGTAAGTCGTTTCGATCTTCTGCAGGAATCTAGTTTTTCTTCAAAGACCTACTTGTTTGCATCGCAACATCTAGAATAGCTAAACTCATCTAGACTGACATCAACCATTAAGTATGCATTGTTCTTTTCGCGAGAACGTTCATAAGTTACACTGCTTGAATATGTTATTTTAACTCCCAAAGTACTCTTCAAGGCATGTTGTTAAAATCACACACATCAGCCTGACATGTGAGAAAGAGAATAGTAATCAGCTGCCATTCCTAGATATACTTCTCAGTCGACGAGAAGACGGTTCAGTAAGACGGTCAGTTTACAGAAAGCCTACATGGACAGGACAATACCTGAATTTTCACAGTTTTTGTCCAATCTAATACAAGCGAGGTTTAGTAAAATGCCTGTTTAACAGGATCTATCGTATCAGTACACTAGATGCGATGGATGAAGATATCAAATTACTGAGCAAAGCACTTATGGAAAATGGATATCCGACGAAGTTTATAAACCGTTGTAGAAGTCAAGTAGCACCAAGCCAACTTTATACACGGTCCTTAAGAAAAATGTCCATATCACTCTACCATACATAGGGCAGCTAAATAGTGTCATTTTGAGACGTAGGCTGACATCAGCCATTAAGAAAACGTATTACGCAGCGAATCTTACCATTGTGGAGAAAACGAAACACATGCTTCACCAAAAGCCTAAACACTGCATCAGTGATTACGTCACATCCCATTGTGTTTACCAATTTACATGTATGTGTGGTCATGCATACATAGGGAGGAGTAATCGAGTTATGCAGTTGAAGGTGAGAGAACATGTGCCTAAATGGCTTCAAAAACAAATGGAGTGCGAAACAGTGATAAACGCTGGTGGGAAACGACCCTCTTCATCTATAACTAAACATATCATAGAAACAGGTCACAAAGTTAATGTTCAAACAGCTTTCAAAGTCTTATATAGAAACAGTCAGTGAGGGACGTATTCTGAGATTTGCGGAAGCCATAGCCATACACAAATTTAAACCACCTTTATGTGTACAAAAAAAGTTTGTTATTACACTACACCTACCATTAAGTACCTAGTGCCAACGTGAATTACCAATATTCATGTGAAACATCTCAAGTGGATTGTATTACAGCTCAGATCCTTTTGAGCAAATCAGCAACTAACTCTCGACTCTATCAAGAAGATATGTAGTCGAATGTTAGAAGAAGATTAGGTTTGCTCAGGACTGGATAACACACTGTCATATTTATCAGCATAAATATGTACCCTAAATGCAACTATATTCCTAGGAAGTTAGTTCATTTGTCTGTTTTGTTAGACAGTTGCGTTAGGGAAAAGGCCATTCAAAGATTAAATTTTAAGTTGATATACATAACTATAACGAATAAAAACGATACTGTTCATTTCTTTGATGGAATAGGCTTCCAGCATACAATTGAGTTAAAATAATGCTAATTCAATCCTTGACTACCTGAAGTACTGATTCACAGAACATAGGACAGTGTTTTCTTAAATAAGAAGATCAATGTTTTGCAAATAATTTACAAACTGCATAGTCCACATTGACATTTTTCACAACTGACTAGTTCTCTAACTGCTCAACTGTATTGTCAACAGAGTTTCTGTTGAGGAACACTCCGTAGCTAAGATCGCATGGGGTGATTTCTAACAGAAGTATCATGAACTGTCAGATTATATACTATTGAAAAACCATGAGTAGTCAGAAGCCACTGACGCTATGATCTGTGTTTTCTGGTCTTTCTTAACGAAGATAGTATCTGCCTCTCAGCAAGTGATTTAATATGTCTAGATTTTGTGAATCAGGCTTCTTTTACTGGTCATGAGGGTGTGGGGGTATATTTGAATATAAATGTTTGGATTTAAAGTGATTTGCGAAGTGTGCGCTTTGTGCAGCCAATATGACTACCTACACAGGTTGCACAAAGCGTGCACTTTAAATAACGTATGTTTGAGCACTATACTGCGTGCTTATCGAGGGCGAGAATGTAAATCAATTTGAGTGATTCCTTACAACATATAGCCTCTTAGCAACTTTTTTACCAATAAGTACTTTGTAATATGAAAGTGTATATTACCTTTGACTTTCAAGGATAGCAAACGATTTCAGTCATTTTCAATCGTTCCCTGAATGTGGCAAACGGGAGTGGAATCCATCTTACCGAAATGCATAAATCGACCACATTATTAGATTTTATTGTATGGAACCTCACGCAGAATCGAATCGAAACGCATATTCATGCAGTCGGCAATAAGTCACATCAATTGTGTGAGCGATTTCTAAAAAGTGTTTGATAGCGTCGACCGAGAAGTAGTTTGGAAACTGCTTCAACACTACGGTTTTAGTGCCACAAACCTTTCACAACCTCATTCAACAGCTATATGCTATATGATGCTACATGCCAAGTGATTCACAATGGAAAGTTCAGTGATGCGTTTGAAGCGAAGACAGAAAGGAGTAAGACAAGGCTGCCGCCTACTATCACCGATCATCTTCCTGATTGTAGTCGGCTGGACTGGACTGGATCATGCGACAAACTGTGAGGAGCGAGAAAATGGAGATACACTGGTTGGACCGATGAAAAGACCCCAGAAGAAGATTTGGATTTCGCCGCCGATAATGATTTATGTCTAATGTCTTGTCGCTAAAACTCGAAGATCTACAGGCGTAAACTAACAAGCGCCAATCACCATCAGTGAGAGAGATCTGAAGGAAGTTGTCTCTTTCACCCACCTAGGCATGACAGCATCGTCTCAACTACAGGTGGTGGCGGCGGCGGCGGCGGCGGCGGTACAGATGAGGAGGTCAAAGCAGCCAGGATTGGAAGCACAGTAAGACAGGGATTCCTTCATTAATCTGAAATCAGTGTGGAGACCTACTTTACTGCACTCCACTGCACTGCACTCCACTCCACTCAGAATAAAGTATGAAGAAGATGCGGATTTCGAACACTAATGTCAGTCAAGTAAGTCAGTGCTTCTATGTGATGGTTGAGAGACTTGGTGGTGTGTTACGTGAGGCGGCATTTGGAACAAACTACAGACATACATGAGCAGCTGGTGCCTACGCTCACTCGATACTGAGACTGAAGATCAGATAGATGGTGGGAAAGAATAAGCAAGAAGGAACTCACTCTGGCTGGTAACGAACTAACCAAGAACCCACCGCTCAACCAATCTGTAGGAAAATGTGGAGTTGGATTGGATTGGATCGGACTGGACTGGACTGGACATGCAGTCAGACCAGACGAGGCCCTCGAGTGGAATTCAAATGGGAAACGACAAGTTGGGCGTCTGCGGCGAAGGTGACATGGAGGAGATGGTGTGAGGAAGAAATGAAAGGTTGGGGGAATTGGTGGAGCGAGGTGGAAAAGACTGGAGGTAAGAGAGTGAAATGGCGACGTGCTACTGAATCCCTAAATTGTACTTGGAACTCAAAGGACAAACAATATAAATGAATAATAATTTTGTAAGCGCTGATGATGCTGTTACTTAACTGGTCAAACCTCTCTAGGTGGGCGTTTTTTGAACTTATGATATACTGTTTAAATGTCTATTGCTTAAACCGGCTAGCCAAACTTCCACAACATCAAATAGAACTCTTCTTATAGCTTCACAGAAACTTTCATTCTCAACGGCTTATCTTTATTGGGTCAGTATGTAGATAGGTTGTGAATGATCATGCATTTATCCCTTGTGATTTCATCAGAATTCGATGTGTGAGATACACTTTACTCAGTTATTGTTTCCTCCACTTTCTTACCTGTCAGTAGCTGAGAAAAATATCCGACAAAAGGTATGTTCAGTTTCTAAACTACTAAGTCGCCGGTTTTAATCCTGTCGCAAACTAGATCTTCATTCTGCCCTTAGTCATCATCTAGTATAAGTTATTATTTTCAATTGCCAATCGAATCACATTAGTCTGTGAAGTGACTAAGGGGTTAATACTAAGTGCACAAACGATAGCAACGCGATGAGACACTTGAACTGGATACTTCACTGAGCAGCGAAATTCAGAAGGTAAGGACAGGCCTGTGACTGAAAGGAAGACACTTTGTTCGACTAGAATACAACACTTATATACGGTTTTCATGAACATATAAAATCACTAGGTCAAAAGTTTGATACGTATTCTGAGCGGTCCAATAAGAGTTCTCACTAAATAGTACCACAGGTTGAAATCCAAAACTTCCACCTTAGCAGCTGATAACTTGAGTTGTTGATTATCATTTAGGCTGCTACCTATCATCCTACTTTCAGATTTCAGAGTTGTGGCTCTTTAGTATGAGGAGTTGACTTTCAAACAACGGATCATGCTTTCGAACACTGCTCTACTTACTGAGGTTTGGTCAGCCAGGTAGTATCATCAACACCCCTCGTACAATAGGTGTAACTCGTTACCTACTGCACGAATGTGTATTTCGGTGTCCCCGGTGATGTTGTTCTACCTTCGCTCCGACCTTCAAATCATATCAAACACGCGCATAGCTACGATCTTTGTTTAAAAGTGACATCAGAAGCAACTAACTAGTGCATGAATGTTTCAGCTTATCTGCAAATTGTTCATACTACTCAAATCTCTCCAGATAACTTTTGTAAAATGGTATGTTACAAAATGGGTGAAGAATTCGTAGATTATACTGTCCATATCGGTATTTGTTACTGATGCATCGCTGTTCACCCACCTCACTTTGTATCAAATAGGGATTTTTAATGATGAATAGTGCCTAGCAGTGGAACCCAGAATGTGCGTTTCGCCCTATTTAGGACTCAGCTGGACGTGCTTACCTCGTAGTGAATGATTTCGTCCCCACTAAGAGTGGAACCCAGGACCGATGGCTCCAAACACGACTATGTAATCCACCAGGCCACTGAGTCACAATGCCCAATCCTTGTGTGAAGAATAAGATGCAGTTATGATATTATATCCAGTAACTCTCCGTCAGTGATTGGATCGAATCGAGCTTGGTGGGAACAACACTCGCTAGTAGGCAGGTGCAATCGGCTGACGAGCCCCATATAGGACAAAACTCACGCCCTGGGTTCCACCACTAGGTTATATTCATCATTAGTATCAACCGTAGATTATCGGCAGCATCGAGGCATCTGCATAGAAACCCATAAGCCAGCAGTAGCCGACCATTTAAGTCCAATCGACGATGAATCTTCTGAAGCTATGATCTGAAAACACGGAATCTGTCGTGATTTCCTCGGTGGTAGCTAGCAGTGGGGTAGAAGACACATATTTCATTCTATTTGGAACTCATCGGCTGAATGTAACTGCATTCCAGTGAGTAGTGTTGTTCCCACTGAGACTTGGAACCAGCACGCTGGGCACGTGAGATTCTTCAGAACCAGAGTCCGATCCCTGGTCGGATTTTGGGTGTGGGTTGCTGATGAGTGGTACTATACCAGGACAAAACGGCTGCCCAGTGCTCTCACGTCTTCATTGGTTCTCCAACTGAAGTCAGTCCAATCCGTGATGAGTTCCAACCTGAAAACCAGTGTTTTCTTATTAATAGACTGTATACAGTCTTCTCTATCTCTTGATTTTCTACCAGTTATTGATTTTTATGAAAACTGTTATTGAACTAACAGCACCTATAGTGGTAGTATTTGAATGTATTGAATTGATTCATGTCGGTCATGTGACTCCGAAAGTTGAACTTTCTCTTCAGTGCCACTGTATTTTTCTATGCATCAGAGTTCAAGGTCTAGTTGATTTTGAATTTAAGACAACTTAATACCAAATGTCAGCATACCATCTAACAAATGGTTATTTCCAGGATAGTTTCTGAGATTATTAGTACTAATCATCATAATAGCACTGATAATAATAATAATAATAATAATAATAATAATAATAATAATAATAATAATAATAATAGCATTGATAACGGCTTTATTCCGTAAGAAATTTCGAGAATACGCTACAGAATTTTCAGCATGTCATGTAGTATCGATTAGAGAGAATTAGTGTACATGCATATATAATACGACGAAATGATTAGAAATTCCATGTAAAAGATAAGAATGTTTACTCCATCTACGACAGTTTTGAAGATGCAGAGTTAACGTAAATAAACAATGACATTAGCAATTATATTTGTGATACACAAGTATCATGGATATTAACATAGGATATAGGATTGAGTCTAGTAATGAGCTTTCTGCCCTGATGCTTAATGGTATGCCTACACACCTGGAAGATGGCGAGAACTAGCGATTGAATCTCGAGGAACTCGAAGGTTGAGTTTTGTGGATTCACCATATTGTCGGGGAGAGGTTGAGTGAATAATGTGACCGGAGTCCTGTATGCGTGTCTGACAAACACAGCACACGTGTATGGCCTGAGTTGCTATAGTTTTGGCCAATGAAGCTTGTCGGGTAAGTTGACGGAGGGTGTGGAGATTGTAGGCTTCAATGTGTAACTTTGAGTGTGATTTAAGGAGACCAGTGACGGTGTTCTGTGGATCCAGATCGTTGTCGAAAGCTTCATTGTTCGAAGGAATTAAAGATGATGTAGGATTGTTAAGTGAGAGACATGAAGGAAGATTAGAAGGTAAGGATGAGGGGGAGAGAGAGAGAGGGAGAGGTGTATAGTGGTTTGAGGGAAGTTGAGCGTTGACAGAGTTGTGATGAGGGTGGTTGAAGTTTTGCGACTGCCTACACCGTGGAGGACTAGGTCTTCTCGAGGTGCCTGGATTTCTCCGTGTCCGGAGATGTCCCAGTGGACATCTGCTTGAGACCGGTGACGTACTGCCTTTTTGATGCCACGAAAATTGGCCTGGATGATGGAAGGTGTAGTTAGACTTACATGCCGTGGTTTTTGGTCACCACTGATCATTGATGACTGATCTAAGTCATCATAATGCATCAGTTCTTTGTTTAGAAACATGTTGAGGGTAAGGTTAACCCTTTTTTGTTTAACCACTATCCAACAGACCTTTGTTGTATGGAAGGACTTTGAAGGGACAAGTGTTTGACCAGGATAGCTTGTTGGGTCATCGTGGTATACAAGCCCGAGGACCACATCAAGGTAGCAGCTATTGGTCAGGTAATAGTTTAATAACAGTAAGCTGTGTGGTTTTTAGTTAGTTGATCTCCAACATTTTCCTCTTTGCACAGGAGAGGAGGTAAATACGTACGGTATTGTGGAGTTTTTATGTTTGGCAGTACCTCCATAAACGCTTACGTAGTTGGCCGTGATTTTGCCTGAGAACTGACACGTAGGGAGAGGTTTGAATGAAGAGTATGCTGGTCATTTGATAAAATGTCTCTTGTCAGATGTTTACATGAGTTAATATGTTTGTTTATTGACAACAGTTTAAATTGTAGTGTTTAGAGGTACATGAGTGTAGTTCTGCTGACAATCTTCAAAGTTCTACTGAAAGTAGCATAGTCAGTGTTTAGCAACCCGGGGAAGAATGAAAGAGGCGAGGGAAGATGCAAGAGTTTATGAAACACTGGAGAAGAGACTGAGTTATAGCAGCAGATGTTCTGAGCTTCGTAATCTAGTAAGTTGGGTGGAATATTCCTTTGGAAATTCAGTAAGATATGGTGGGACAAGGAGAGGTTCGAAAAAATATACACGCCGAAATAAATCACTGTTGTGACATTTTCTGGTGCATTGCCATGAGTAGAGCAGGAATCATGAAACCTATACAGACTACATAGACTATTTTGGCGTTCTAGACTAATGTTTATATTCTAACATTTTGAGGAATTCGGCAGAGGATCATTTACAGGGGATCAGCATCAAACAGTAAACATGAGATCGTTGAGCATTAGCCTAACTTGTGTATGAACATAGAAATGGCAAAGCCGGATAACAAGTTTGTTTGGGGAACAACACTTTGTCAGCTGGAAAATGATAGTCACATTTGTGCAGCGTAGAGGGTCTTGTCAATGGTTCTAGAGAGTCTCTGGTATAAAACGTCTCCGGTCACATCCCCATCAAATTACAATTTCATGAACAATGGTTTCTTCTGTATGGTAAGAATTCCAGGTTTGTTTCACCTGGCTTTGTCCATGTGTCTTTTTTTGAAACTGTTCGAGCAGCTCATTTCGACCAATGAGTTATGAGTATATCCTAACGCCTTCTGTGCTAGATCATCCAAACATATTCTTCTCGCTTAGTATCGGAGTTTTATTTTTATTCATGTGAAGTACTATTTGTCTGTTAATCAACCCTGACGAGTCAGTGTCCGACGAGATGCACGAAAAAGCCTGACTAAGCGGCTGGTGTGATTATGAAGTATATACATGACATTTGGGCTAGATTCCCAGGGATTGAAGTGAAGTTAAGAACTACTCAGAAAATTGGTCTAATGCCTTGGAAGAGCACTTGGATGGTAATTCGGAGACTGCCTGTTTCGAATGCGGCCACTTTTCATTTCACCTTCAGTTATCACCACATATGAATAACACTCATCAATATTAACCTTTTTTTCTACTTTATTGATTTTTTTGCCATACATATTATTCTAGTTTATGGTGTCGTTAAAGACTTTGTGTTCCGTGAGTTATGATCATTCTAACCACTAGTTGTATGCTGCACTCCATAATTATTCTTTTGGCCTAATCAGGCACATCAATTTTTGTTCATAACAAGAGAAAACATAAGAATCATTTTTGTCACACATTTAATCTGGCTACTGATTTTCATTTTAGTAGTGTAATTTGATTGAATTAAATTTGATTCCGGCTCAACTTTATTTTGTGCACTTATTTGCAAACATTTGTTCTTGTGGTGATGAGGTGTATTTATTTTTGCCCTAAATAGCCTTTTGCTTTTATAAGTGTTTACTTATCATTTGTGACCGTGAAAATTAAAAACAAGCTTGCAGTTTTGTGAGTTTTGCATACCATTTTGACAAACTTTAGTTTCATGCTGATACCTACCGATATATTCAGTTCATTTCTGACACCTTGTAGATGTGTGCTTTAGTAGAATTCACGCCATACAACCTAATTTAGCAGTCCTAATACGCTTTTTTCGCATTTTTTACATTACTATATGAGGTACAATTTAAAAGACCCGATCACTTGCCTCCAGAATTGCTCAGTGGTAACGTTTGTTACTACAACACTGGGTGGTGCTAGTCGGAATCTCAGAGGGGATATCAGTTCCCTGAAGGTTGCTGACGAGTGCCAACAGGCATCCAAATCTAGGTGAATCATGGCTTTCTGCTGATTGGCTTCAATCAAATGATATCCGAAATAATGTTTCTTTTGCAAATTATCTTCAACTTGTGTTTGTGATTAGCTTAAGAAACAGCCTCAGAGTAATCAAAGCTGTTTCGAATCACCGTGCTCCTCTATGAAACCGTTGTATTTCAAGCTAAGTGAGAATTTGAAAATGTCAATTATCATAGTTGAATCAAACGATTCAAATCCCACTGTTATCGGTCATCTTGTAACCTCAATGTGCCTCCGAAGCAGGCATCTTTACGAATACTGTCGGTAAAGAATAGAACATTTCATGATGTATGTTCTATGCCTATTCATTTACAGTTGGCATCATTCTGATACTTAACTGTAATTATCAGTTTGATAATCTGTGACAGCCGTGGTTTGGCAGACTCGTATTATTTTTATTGGGTGATGATTGAGAGTGAAATGAAAATCTGGGCCTCGACAGGATTCAAACCAACGACCTTCAGCTTGTCAACCGGGTGCTCCACCAACTAGACTATGAGACCCTGGCTACTGACCAGACCTTAATTTTAATTCAATCGCCAGGGGTTTTACTTGACTTCCATGTGAATTCGTGACGCGTTACTGTTGCTTGATCGTATTCAAACCAGCTGTCCAACTAAGTCTTCCCATCCGAACCCAGACAAGCTGGATTCAAGGGGGAGGTCATCATATTGATTATCTATTTGACTATCTGGGATAGCGAGGATTTGAAAGACTCATATTACTGATACTTGGTGGTGGTTGAAATCCAAATCTTGCTCACGGTATGGTTCAAACCAATCTGTCTCTTCAACTAACGGATATTTACAATTTTAGCTGGGATAATTACGTGTCAAAGTTTACTATTTTGGCATGTGTGACTCTGATATCTGACTGATTTTACGATGGATTTTTATGCTTAGTTGGAAGAAACGACGATAAACCGATAACCTGATGGTTACTGGTCATATGGTTATATGCATTGGTTGGTCGTTTCAGTATCGAACTTTTAATTTAATTCCTGTGAAATGCTATTTGTTTGTTCATCAACTCCGGTGGGCCAGTGGGCGACGAAATCTCTTCTCGTATACAAAGTTCTCTATCGGTCTTAACCAGCTTATACCATTTGTGGCTCCACCTGCCAAGAGTTCACTGTACTATGGAACAGTGTGTTCTGCTCGCTGTGAAATATGGCCATTAGGAGTGAAGGATATGAGAAGGCTTAAGGTGTTTAACCGTCAATACCTTCATATCATTCACCGTGTGTCGTGTTACCAGCTCTTTTGTAACATATGAGTCAGGTTTAAAGGTTTAGGCCACTCAACAACCTTGTGCACCAGGCAATCAGTCACACCTATGTTGTGAGGGCTAATGGGGCTATCTGGCTTCTCAAACCACGGTAGGAGGAGTGGAGTCCGAATTTGTGTTCCATTAGTTCTCACAGTTGTAGAGCTTTAAGAAAAAGAAGTGAGTCAGTTGATGATATTGTGAAACTTCATCGACTCAGGTGACTAGGGAATTTGTTATCCATGCTTCATGGCAGAACCCTAGCTGAATTAGATTAAAGCTGGAAAAAGTTAGAGACAACCGGACTGAAACATGCCATGAGTCCCTTGATTCTTTGACCGTCAATCTGAGCTGTTTAGATGAATGTAGACCACTAAGCTAGGGTTCACGTGATAACTGATTTAAATGGTTGGAGACTGTAGGTGATGTGCCTGAAAATCATTGTCAGTGGTGCAGATGCTCTTCCTACTCATGATATTAAGTTCCATTGTTGTTATTCTCCTTCTTCTTTCACGTCTCTATCTTTTTTAATTATTTTCTAAGTTATTTCTATATCTTTCATTTCAGTACTGTCTACTTTGTTTTGGTGTGGCAACTTGGACCGTTGCGCAGGGATGCGTGACCCTACGGTTATGCTAACTCGCTTATTGATTGATCAATTTAGTTGTAAAAAGTTAAATTAAGTCCTTTATGATCAGATTTGTTTGGAAATCATAGTGTATATTAAGAATGACTTCATGTTTTGTCTGGGAAAATTTCCTGTTAGTGTTAAACTTAACCCCGTCGGATACAATGACAAACATGTACACCCAAAGATGAGATCACAGGTGACATGATCTTAAGTGAATTATTGTTCAGACATGGTACGCATGAAAAAATTTCAATGTAATGATGTACACCGACTCCTGGCTGTTTCTTAACCTACTTTCGAACATCCCCACAAATTTTTCTCTAGAGGATACTAAACTACTCTTTAAGGTTTTATTATTATGATTATTATCAAAGCATGACTGGATGCATTAGAATTGTCTCACAAACACCATACACGAGTGTAAACGAACTTCAATGTAATTGAAGCGTAAAAGAGTTTATTCAAAAGTGTGCCAATAAATCGCATGTTGTGAAAAAGCGAGAAACTTGAATTATTCCACCTGAACTGTGCTGTGCTGATTAGATTGAAATAAAACCTGCCTAAAAGAAATTTATTCAGTAAAAGAATACACAGAAAGGAATACCTTTATCAGTACGTTTATTTGTTTTGGAAATGTTGAGATCAAGTGAAGGATACTAGACAAGATAGGCAAGTCGATTGATAAGATTGCGAGTCTTAGTCGACTGAGATGGCTTGGGCACGTGCTAATTCTGCTGTCTCCGCTTACCTCGATGTGCCAATCTGGAGGAAGTTGGATTAAGTTAGAAGAGGATTCAAAGTAGCCAGATTAATATATAGCACCAGTTATTAGTCTGAGGGAGATGTAAACTACTTAGGTGACGTCGTCAAGTCTATTGGAAGCGGAGGTTGAAATGGCTGAAAATCGGTCACAATGGAGAAGATGAATTCACTCTTTGAAATCTTCTAAAGCTTGAGTATTCGCACTAACCTTCATCTTCAAATTGTTTATTCTCCTGTCACACAACTTTATCTACTTCGAAATGAGCCTTTCCTTATCCACTTATTCTTTGTATACCACTGTAAAGTGTAGGAACTTGAATGGATGCACTCGTGTGTGAGGTTCTACGTTGATTTTGAACTTCTGTCTGCATTTATACTTGGTAATTCCATATTAGAAGAGGATTAAAAAAAATGGTTAGTTTCGCTGTAACAAATCTTTATATTAAATACTAATCAACATGGTATTAGGGGCAGAATTTATTCACAGAACTAAGATATCGGTTGATGAGATCATATTAGGCGTATAGTTGTGCCTAACTTCCACAGTCTTCAAGTTTAAGGAGAAAATATATAGACAAACATAAGGAGTAGCAATAGTGGGATCATCAATAACCCCAATTGTAGCAGATATATTTATGGATAGTTGAAAAAAATGGCCTCACAAACGTTTAGTCCTGCACTAAAAATTTGGTGGTGATATGTGGATGATACATTTAATGTGTGGAAATCGGAACATATTGGCAATCTCCTCACACATATAAACTCGGTAGTGGACGCAATCCAATTCACTTACGAGGTAGAAAATGAACAAGAAGAATTGCCTATGTTGGATTGCAGGGTAAAACGAAGGACAGACGGTGGTTTGGATTCTACCGTCTACAGAAAAATTCACACATTCTAACAGGTATCTAAACTTCAAGTCATCTCAATATCGGTTAAAAGCAGGTTTAGTCAAATGTCTAAATGATAGAGCTAAAAAAACTCACTAATCATTGTAAGAACTGGAACAAGGGATTGAAGCACGCAAAAGAAGGGCTAATAGTTAATAATTATCCTCTACACTACATTAAAAAATTCGTATGAACACAAAAAAACGAAATAATACCGACAACAAGAGTAGAAATAAGTTCACAACCTCCATTGCGTTACCCTATAAAGTAAGACGTCAGGAACTACGTAGGATCCTCAACAAGGCTGGAATTAGGGTGGTGTTTAAATCTAAAAACTCACTCAGAGATAAGCTTTGTCGGCTGGCTTGCAGATCCTATAGAAGCAATTAAACGAAATAATCTAATCTATCAAATTCCATGTAATGACTGTGAGGTCAAACTAGCTGGTCGGTGTCCGTTAGATTAACGGAACAGGAATGTAGCTAAATATAGAATGACAGACCCCAATAAGATCAATAATCTAGAAAAAGAACTCTGCTGTTGCAATGCATACATTGACACGATCACACGATACGAGGGTGGGATGAAACTTGTTTTGCCCCAGTTTTGTATAAAACATTGTTATTGATCTGACCATTTTAACGTTTTTACGGTATGACTAATAGTTTATTTTCTGCCACCATTGTAATGTAAGTCGCTAATTGGTTAATCTTACTATGCAAATGCCTCAAATTGAGGACAAGGTCATTTTCATGTGTGTACTTAATCACGTGTTTTGGATTGATTTATTATATTATACTCTCGGAGTAATAACACTCTCCCATCTGCCAGCTTCAGTCTTCTCTCTATTCTTCCCGGGGTTGCAGTCAGTGACTCTTGCGTACCAAGTTAGCTGTCGGCTAAGCGTGCCTATTATATTCGCTCTGGAATATATATATATATATATATATATATATATATATATATATATTATATATATATATATATATATATATATATATATATATATATCAGAACGAATATAATACGCACACTTATAACACTTATATAACCATTAGCGTTCGAAAACAACAAAAACCATTGTACTCAAGTCCAATATGCTTAAGTGGAGAGACAGATTGACTACTGAATCTTTGTCTATCGAACCTACACCCAGCACATGTGAAATAGGAATGAAGCAACACCTATACCAGAGGTATAAGGAATTTTACTACCAACAGAAAAGAAGAGTGTGACGTGTGACAGGACTATGAAAATCAGATGTCGGAAGATTACACATTGATATATGATTATGAGCAATGATAATTTATGCTCGAAACGTCGTCATCAAGCAAACAATACTGTATCACTATGTGTGCTCATGTTTTACACTTCGGTTGGTACTATTTAATTTCTGCGGGTTTATATATCAATGAGTCAATAACAGCTTGATGTGATAATTTTTTTCTAACATATTTTTCCGCTTCTAATTTACTGATTATTTTAATTAAATTACTTTCATATGTGTGTATGGTAAGGAAAACATTTTTTACGTAAATAAACTGGTGCTATCTATAGACTATTTTGCATCTTAACAGATTACTGATTGATTGATAACACAATAGTGAATAGTCAATATTGTAGTGAACGTAAAATTGTTATAAATTCAATTTATTATTTCTAGTTTTGACTAGAAGAGTTTATTTGGAACTACTAATCCGTTTATGATAAATTGGTTGGTTGTGGCTAGCAGAAGAATCCAGGACGTGCATTTCGTCCTATTTGGGACTCATCAGCTGGAAGTACCTGCACCCCAGTGATGTTGTTCCCACTGGGACTCGAACCTCGTACCTATCGCTTCAAGGCGTTATCCACTATGCCACGGAGGAACGATAGCCACCTCTTGTACAACGAGTGGTAGTTACTACTATTTATCGACATACTCGTTATTTTCCGACCAATTTATCATCATTAACATTCAGGCAATATCTAGGTATCTGCATAGGAGCCCATATGCCAATAGAGGTCGAACAATTCGATCCAACAAAACAACGGAGAATAACAAGTATGTCAATGAATAGTAATATTAGTCCGTTTGTTTGTTTTCCTTTGAAATTCACACCAGACTCAGTCTAGGTTACATTTATTATTATCTATGGTTACATTTCTAAGTGAATAAACAAACAAACACTTATGATACATTTTGAATTTGTATGATACACTTTAACAAATAGTACTAATAAACATTAGTCTTGTTATTTGATTGGTGACAACCAAGAATGGATTTCAGTATTTGGCTTTGCCTCCTCCTCCATCACTTTAACAACTAGTGACGATTATGCTCTGTAGTCTGAAATGATCAGTGTTAGATTTAAATTTCAGGGGGAACGTTTTTGTTTTTTTTACGACACAATTAGGTACTGCTAGGTAAATTGTCCCAAATACAAGACATTCGTTCAAGGATTAAATCAAAAATCTAAATTCCCTATATAGACGTTACTTTTGTCATCATTAAAAAGATGATTTAGAAAACACTTACAGTTTGATCTACAACGTTTTCAATGACATCAAATTCACAATGGAGAAGGAGTCGAGCAACCAACTTCCATTCCCGGATGTTTTAGTCAATAGGACAAATACGGAGGAGCTGGAAACCCAAGTGTCCAGGAAGACAACACGTTGACCAAATCCTCAACTACAGTAACAACAACCCACAAGATCAGTTGCATGCAGACTCTATTCAAAATAATGAGAACACACTGCACTGCAGCACAACAACGTCACAGAGAAACGAAGAAAATTACTTGACGTCCATCCTAAAGAAGAACGGCTACCAACAAAACTTCATCACAAGATGCCTATCACGTACATCATCAACTACAAAGTCATCAACAGAAATCAATAAACACATCATCCTACCATACATAAAGAATATATCAGAAATCATGACAAGATTACTGAGACCATTTGGTGGAATTGGTTTGTCTCATGAACCAAAACATTCCCTCCAAACACTATTATGCACATCAAAGGATGCAACAACCAAACAAGACAAACCGAATATCATTTAAAATATCAACTGGAATAACTGTAGTCAAGACTACATATGACAGAGTGGTCGCCCTGTTCGCCTTCGTCTACATGAACACTAATTGGATATTGAACGTCACAATATATCCATCACTCATTTGAATGCACGTGGATAATTATGGAGATGAATTGAATTTTGACAATGTAGAAATGTTGGATGGAGAGAGGAAACACAAAGAGAATATCAAAGAATTCCTAGTCAGTAATCAACAGATGTATAGACATAGGTCTGATCTATCAACCAATGAGAGAAATGATGAACAACAGAGAGGTGAAGGAGAGGAACAGTCAACAGGAAAATCTATTTCAAGTTGTTATTCATCGAAGACTGACATCAGTTGGAGGAACAAAGGAAACCTGGGAGCACTGGACAGCTGTTTCGTCCTAGTATGGGACTCCTCAACAGGAAAATCTATGCAGTCAGTCAATGACACAAATTATAATTGCTCATAATCATATCACCTTGATATGATTATGAGCAATGATAATTTATAATGGAAACATCATCAGGTAAATAACACTGTATCACTGTGTGTTATAAATCAAATAAAGAAATCTAATATGGAATTACTTTCTTCAGGATATTCGCCAACAGGCATTGATTTTCCTGATATGGTGGTATTTGTGTTGAGAAAAACACCAATGACGCCATATATTTTAACAGTGCCAATCAGCGTTGATTAAAGTCGCCTAATGTGTTTTCTACCGAATTCTCGGTTACTCTTTAATGAATAGAGTTATCTTTCTAACCTTCGGAGTTACTCTACAAGTGCCTTGCACGTGTGAAGTTGTCAAAATGTATCATATTTAATATACTACCATTGAGGAAAATTGAAAACTTATTCGACTGTTGGTCTGGACCATGTAGGGATTGTACGTTGGAGTCCATGTGGCAACAGAAACCAATGGTTGTAGACTCCAGAATCGATGTCGATGACGCAGATGTAACCACATATTATCTTCAGCATTTATATTGACTTTTCACTGAAGAGCAACAAAGTTCGTGTTGTTAAGTCCTTAGGGCTGACTGAATTCTACTGATCATTTTTGAAATGCGGCCACCAAACTAAGTAGCTTATACTTGTGGTATACTATGATAGATGTTAGACAATTGGAGGCTATCCACTGCAAGCTCTGCTTAATTTAAGTTTCTCACTCGTTGACCTTCGTCAGCAAGGTGTATCTGTAACCTTGGGGGAATTTATATCTCGCCTGAGGTTCTTGCTTGTTGTGTGGGAATCTGAAATGTTATAAAGTAGTGTTTGATGCCTATAATGACGTTGATGACAATTTTTGGGTTAAAGTTTTCCTATTTTTTTTTCATACGTACTTATTGTATAATATGGGTCGGTTTTCTCACTACATGAAAGTAGTTAGAAGTACTTTCTTCTACTTTTCTATTCGTCTACTCTTCAATTGAAATACAAGTGCTGTACTGTGGGCTGTTCACTTTCTTTGACATCAATACACTTGTAGACATGTTAAGAAGATAATAATCAAGTCATTAGTAAGCATTGTGTTCAAGCAAGTTAATAGTGCATCAATGAATTGCGAAACTTGTGTTCTTTTTACAGCTCCTCAGGATTGTTTTGTACACAGATACAAAACAGTTGGTAATGGTAAAGATTATTCAGTTATTATATCAAGGTTTACTGGTTTACTAGCCGATCGTAAGCCCGAATAAAGAGGGAAGAATGGGCATAGGGCTAACAAACCTACCCCCTAAAACCAATTCAATCGATAAAAAAAACTTCAAAGCACAAAGAAAATATAAAAAATAAAAACAAACTTACTCCTCGCTGGAATCGGAGAGACGAAATGACTCTGGTTGGTGAAAGCCTTCGGGAAGCCAATTGGAAGATGTGTCTTCTCTCCCTCAATGAAAGCGAAAGTAAGCATGCGGACATGGAATATCCACACAATGTTTGAGGCTAGCTGGCAAGGCTGTCCACATTGCCAGAGAGATGAGAAGATATAACATAGAAGTGTCAGACTAGGAATCTGCAGATGGAATGGAAGTGGACTCTCCAAACTATCAACTGGAGAGTCAATAATCTACTCCGATATTGTCACCCCGACGACAACCACCAGCACAGCAACACTGAGTTTTCGAGTGGCTATCATGATATCCCCAAGAGCATCGAAGACTCTCATGCAGTGGGAACCAATCTCCTCCTGCAGAATCAGGATCATGACAGCAAGATTCAAATCAAAAGAGAAGTAAATCTAACTCCTTTTTAATTCAAAAGTGTTTCATTTCTTTTCCTAAAGCTTTACAATACTCTTATCTATTAAACAAAGGAGTGTACAGTTTTTTCTAACTGTCTTGATCATTTTTTTTATTTCCAATTTGTTCATTTTTCGTCGCTTTTCTTTTCATCTCTGAATGTAGAAGTATGGAGTTGAGTATATTCAGACAAATGAACCGATGGTTGAAAAAAGTGATATTGTTTTCGCTTGTGTCAAACCACATGTGTTAATTCCAGAGTTAAAATGTTTATCGGATCGACTAAACGATAAATTGTTGATTTCTATTGCTGCAGGTATTACATTGGATCAAATGCAGCAGGTAAAATTGATATTCTTCATTGTTTTTATTGAAATGATGTTCATTATGGACTTATATCCGTTGGAGAGAAACATTAGAGAGGTGTTTCGTCCTGGTATGGAACTCCTTAGCATTACACACTTATGAACCTCCAGAGATTGGGCCCAAGACCCGTCAGGTTCCTCAACCAGTACGTTACCGTTGGGCCACTAGGTCGGAATTTAATAGTCCATATTTCTTACTTCTGTCAGTTCACGATATAACATGATTTCCATCTAATGGCATCATTCAGTAACTGTCCTTAAGTTCAACTTGGTTGGCCCTACCGGTCACGACTTCTCGCTGAAACTTCGGGAACCATCTCTTGAGGCTGGTCACCAATGAGGATTAGATTAGTGTTATTCCTTGTATTATACCGTCGTTGATTGGACCGAATTAATCGGTCTCTATTGGCATATGGACTCCTGTATGGATGATTCGATATTACCTGTGTAGTTCTAGTAAAGATGGATAGTGGCTAGCAGTGGAATCCAGGATGCGCGTTTCGTCCTATTTGCGACTCGTCAGCTGGATTTACCTGCCTCCCAGTGAGTGATGTTGTTCCCACTGGGAATGGGGAGCGATCGCTTCAAATGCCAGAACGTTATCCACTACACCACTGAGCCACGATAGCCACTTCTTGTAGTCAAGATGAGGATTATATGTGTATGCATTTCCCCCACTGACACTGATTCTGAGCCATATCACCTACAGTCTCCAACCGCTTGTTTATCTTGTCCGGTGGACTCCAATCGGCTACTCTGAACCGTCCTACATAGCCCAAACCAACCCGTTGCACAAGAAGTGGCTGTCGTGGCTCGGTGTTTAGTGGATAACGCTCTGGCATTTGAAGCGATCGCTCCCGAGTCCCGGTGGGAACAATATCATACTCACTTGGAGGTAGCTACATCCAGCCAACGAGTCCCAAATAGGACGAAATGCGCATTCTGGGTTCCACTGCTCGCCACTATCCATCATTATCATAGAGGACTATATTAATTCAATTTGAAGGTTTGTGAGGATTTACTTATTGATTTCTGGTTGGTCACGGAACCTGAAGTTCTTGGGTTCGACCCCTGGCGAGTCATGGGTGCGCACTGCTCAGGAGTCCCATACCAAGACGAAAAAGCTCTCCGGTGCTCCCAGGTGTCCGATGTTTCTCAAACTGATGTCAGTCCATAATGAATACCAAAAACCTCCAAACTGAATAAATCTTATTTACGTCTGGTAATGACTGATAGCGAAGTCAGCGAAGCGTTTTACATGCTGTTGCCCACTCGTCAACTAAATGTATGTGTCTATATGAGTATATCAACTGAAACTTGAACTCGTCCTGCATTGCTGTAACTTAGTGCCATAAATTGGCATTAGAAAAGACCATTCTCCAACAAAAAACTGTTGCTTGTTGAACCATAGTTGACTGTTGTCATCATCATCGAAATCAACATAGGACTAGGCGTTACTGTGTAACGGTCCAACTTACCACACCTCATATCACCACATCAAGTGAAAAGCCAGTGAAGTGGAAGATGAAAAAAAGGAAATCCAGTCAAAAGAAATATATGAAATACGAAATGAGAAAATGGTGAGGTTCGGTATAGCGTTAAGATGAGGATAATGTGTGTGTATAAATCTGCGCCACTGACATCGGTTCTCAGCCATATCACCTACAGTCAGTCTCCTACCACTGGTTTCTCTTGTCCTGCGGACTGCAACCGGCTAGCCTCCATCACCCTACATGGCTCAAATCAACAGTCAAGGACTTCATACATTGGCGCCATGTTTTAGTCTGGCCACCTCGAGCGCTTTTCCAGTTTGAACCTACATCGGCCAAGATTGTGTGACTAGGCAGTTGGTGGTTAGGCATAAGTAACACATGTTCCAACCATCTCAGCCGATGACAGTTTATAACCGTATCAACTGTCTTACCTTTCCTCTCTAAAACTGTCCACCTGACTTCTGCTTTGCTTACGTGACACTACGAAGGCAAAGGTGGTCAAATGCCTAAAACTTTCTCATTTCCTCTACCTTCAATGGACATGTTTCACAGCCAAACAATAGAACATAGTGGACTGCAGCACAGTACACTCGATCCTGACTATTGTAACTCAGTAACACTAGCGTTCCAAGTGGTACGTCTCAGCGGAAACACTCAGACGACGAATCACAATTAGAATGAGTGTTGCTTCAGATATAAGCAACAGTCGGCGGTAGTCATTTGATTTTATGTTACTTAGGGAGGATAACGTTCAGCGGTGCAGAATGCAAGACCTAGGGAAATCTATTCATTATTTGGAAAGAAATCTGTGTAAACAAGGCATAAAGTATTTACTTCTGGGCTTTAGTAGTGTTTTTGTTCACTTTCTATTCTGTTTTGATTTGTTTTTCTGTCTGCCAGAAGGCTATATATGTGTCTAATATAGCGTAGTTGAACTGATAACAGGTAAAATTATGTAATTTGTAAACAACCAAAGATTCCTCTAACATTAATAAAAGGTAACAATCTGAACGAGGAATATTCTTTTCAATAACTTCACATTAGGTTCGACAGTCATAAAATGCATTTGTACGGAGTAAAAACAAACCGCGTTAGAGGCAAATACATTTTTGGATTGAAGTGAGATTTAGGGATTGAAAAAGAACCTAGTTTCCTTTTTACATTTATCAATATTATGATGATATACATACAGATAAATGATGTGCTGGTGAACGGAAAGACAACGAAGGAGTGGCCTTCAGTTTACTGGTCTGTAGATTCATTGTGCTACCGAAATCGATTCTGAGTTTCTTTGACTTCTGAAAATGTTTTAGGTACTATCTCAATTTCTTATTCGGAATCTGACTAGACAGCAGGTAACAGGATACTATCTGTAGGCTAGTTGAATTGTTCCTCGAACTATTTCCATTCATCTCTCCTGCAAGCGAATCACAGACCCATCCTTTTATATAATGTCACTAATCACTAACCTTCTCGCCCCGGTTTCCTTGATAAACCTAAATAGCTGTCAAATGTTATCTGTTGCCGCTGATTATTCCATCTCTTTAGCGTTCGCCGCCCACTACTATTCGCGATCATTATAGTCTATATTTCAATTGCTTCCACTCTTCAAGAGTGTGTTGATGCGTATATATTTATTCAGAAGTTGCTGAAATTTACCGATTCTTTTTATTCACTTCTGTCTATTGGCTATGGTCTTCAATGCTGGTTTTTCGGTAGACTAGATTTGGCGCCTGGTTTCTTCTGTATAAATGATGTCGCTGTGTACCGATACCTATCTAGGCAGTTTCTCACTGAAAGCGGCCTCAACGCTTTCATTGTCGAGCTCCGCTCGCAATGGTCTTGTTGCTTCAGCTTTAACACATCCGTTTAGGTGCAGAAAAACGTGATCGTAGTTTGAATACATGCTCCAAGAGGGGTGGCAATTTTTTACCGGGCTCTCCAGTGATAAATGGTAGCAGTAAGGTCTACTATGCCCACTGCTGAGCTGAAATTGGTGGACACCACGTCAGATAATCTTTCTCCTTATGTCCGAATTTCGTGCTGGCCAGAGACAAATGGTTGTCTCAGCACAGTTGTAGTAGGCGATCACCCTTATCTGTTCTTTCAGCTGAGATTGTGAAAATGTCACCTAAGTGCCTTTCTGTCTTACTACATCGACCTACTTGTGTGCTGCAATCACCTCCTACGACATCCACTTCTACACGTTTGGCTTTCATTTAGGGGCTTGAGTCTTTTCGGTAGAACTCATTCTTCACTTCTTCTGAACTGCACTCAGCGGGTAGGTAAGTAGAGATTACAAAAAAACGGCAGGTTTCACTACTCTTTCTATTCTTCAGTTCACCGTCCAGTCAGAGAGTGCATAGGTGACTGTCAGCTGGAATCCAGTCGAGCAGTGCATTTTCTGCCCTAGAAATTAATGCTACACCGACACCTGCAAGACCGCGAGAACTAGCCATCGAATCTCCAGAAACTGGAAAGTTGAGTGTTTCGTATTCACCATATTTGCCGGGTGAGATTAATTGGATAACCACTCTCGATTTTTGTACACATATCTCGCAAACAAAGCGCATATCCACGACCATAATTGCAAGAGTTTTGTCTAACAACATATTTTGGTTTGATTCGACGGGGCGGGGGTATAGACGTAGGAAACTCTTATATGTTGTCTGGAGGTCGGTTTCAGGGAATTTAGTTAATTTATCTAGCCTAAAGATAGAAAAAAAGATTTTTGTAGTTTCTTAATCATTTCCACATTATATAAATACTTAAATTTATCTGTTTATTTGATAGGTTTTGCCAAAATCTACTCGAATTATTCGTATTATGCCGAATACACCTTGTCTTGTCGGGGTTGGGACTGCAGTGTATGCGCATACGTCATCTGTTACGGAACAAGAAGTTCAGTTGATTACTACTTTGTGTTCATCGATATTTCCTGTTTTTGAAGCTATTCCTGAAACCTTGTTCAACGCAGCTGTTGGCGTGGTAGGCTCAGCTCCTGCCTATGTAAGTTCTTCATTAAATTGCTTTACTATTCGTCTAAATTGATCACTACATACCTGGGTCATATTAATGACATGTCATGATCACATTGTATAGCTGAAGCAGTGGAAGATTCTTCACAGCACTCCTCTTGACCTCATCCAGTAGTTTGGAATCGACTACTTGTATCGTTGACACTTCTGTTGCTGGTCTATCTATAACTTTATTGTTCTATTTCTTTCCTTAGTTGTCGATCCAGTTTCTCCTATGCCCTATAGAATGTCAGATGAAATTATTGGGATAATATACAGTTATTTGCAGGAATTAGATAAGAATGTGAGATTGTGGGGGTTATTTTTCATTATTTTTTCAAATTTGTACCCGGTCTATCGGTCTCTATTGGCTTATGGGCTCCTACGTGGATGCCTCAGTGTTGTCTGTGTTTGGGTTACATATTAATGATGGATAGTGGCTAGTGGTGTATTCCACGACGCGCGTTTCGTCCTATTTGGGACTTGTCAGCCGGATGCCCCTGCCTCTCAGTGAATGATGTTGTTTCCACTAAGACTTAAACTCGAAACCGGTGGCTTCAAACACCAGAGCGTTGTCCCCCAGACCACCGTGTCACGATAGTCACTTTTTGTGCGACGAGTATACTTTTAATGTTTTCTTTGTATTATCCCATCGTTAAGTGGACCGAATTGATCGGAACGCGCTTGCTAGCCACTATACATCATTGTCATATGAATCAAACACCGGCATTATCGAGGAATCCGCGCTGGAGCTCATAAACCAAAAGAGACCGATCAATTCGGTCCATTCAACGATGGGATAATACAAAGAATAACATTAAAAGTATACCCGTCGCACAAGAAGTGGTTATCGTGACTCAATGGTCTAATGAATACCGCTCTGGTGTTTAGTCGAGAGTCAGAGTCCTAGTGGAAACAACATCGCCCACTGAGAGGCAGGTACATCCAGCCGACGAGTCTCAAATAGGACGAAACGTACGTTCTGGATTCCACTTCTAGCCACTATCCACTACTAATATGAAATAGTATGTATTTATTAGTATGCTTTACCAAGAACCCTGTAGTGCATACTCGTAGATGACACTGTTTTGATTAGTTTTGAGTAACTGCATATTTTCCTATCCTTATACACTTTCATATATGAAAAGGGTCTCAGTAACAGTATAAAAGATCTGGTTGAATGTGTTATCACTAATTTGAAAATTGAAATCCACTCAACAACCTTGTGTACATTTGTGCAGTAGGCAGTGACCTATACTTATGTTTTGACTAGTTAATGATACTACCTAACTGCCCAAATCTCGGCAGTTGGCGCAAGGTTCGAACCCGTCAACCTCTAATTGAAAGTCAACTCCTTAAACTAATAAGTCACAACTCCGCAGTGGATGTACATATCCTAATTTTTAATGACTTTTTGAATACTTTTTCATGACATAGTCCTGTTAGGTGAAGACGTTGACAAGATACAGAGTCTTCTGGACACTTTGAGTGCCGATTTGAGAATGTTTGGGATGCGTTTCTCACCACCCAAATGCAAATTGTTGCTCAAGGATTGATCTTTAATAGTGACTCGGCTATCAGTAGAGAGTGTAATGGTTGAGTGTATCGACCACTTCACTTACCTGGGAAGTGGGATCAGCCCTAGTGTCTCAGTGACCGACGAAATCTCTACGCGGATACGAAAGGTTCGACTGGCTTTCACCAACTTACTCCACCTATGGCGCCACCGTGATATCCGATTGTCTATTAAGGGTGGCGTGTACTGCACAGCAGTCCGGTCTGTTCTGCTGTATGTATGGCTGTGAAACGTGGCCGTTGAAGGTGGGAAACATGAGAAGGCTTCAGGTGTTTGACCACCGTTGCCTTCGTAGTATAAGCCGTATTCCATGGTGTCACCACGTGAGTAATGCGGAAGTCAGGTGGACAGTTTTAGAGAGGAAAGGTAAGACAGTTGATACGGTTATAAACTGTCATCGGCTGAGATGGTTGGAACATGTGTTACTTATGCCTAACCACCAACTGCCTAGTCACACAATCTTGGCCGATGTAGGTTCAAACTGGAAAAGCGCTCGAGGTGGCCAGACTAAAACATGGCGCCAATGTATGAAGTCCTTGACTGTTGATTTGAGCCATGTAGGGTGATGGAGGCTAGCCGGTTGCAGTCCGCAGGACAAGAGAAACCAGTGGTAGGAGACTGACTGTAGGTGATATGGCTGAGAACCGATGTCAGTGGCGCAGATTTATACACACACATTATCCTCATCTTAACGCTATACCGAACCTCACCATTTTCTCATTTCGTATTTCATATATTTCTTTTGACTGGATTTCCTTTTTTTCATCTTCCACTTCACTGGCTTTTCACTTGATGTGGTGATATGAGGTGTGGTAAGTTGGACCGTTACACAGTAACGCCTAGTCCTATGTTGATTTGGATGGATGATGATGATTATCCATGAGTGGATTAGATAAGTGGTAAATACACACCAAAGTCTTTTCTTCTTCTTCACAGCGTCTAATTAGTCACATCATTTTTTATAGTGAGTAGGAATCAACACGATTATTTAAATGAAAGTTCAAACTGTTGTGATTAAGGACATCATAGTTTATAGGATAGTAAATCTCGCTATTTACATCCATTCACATTGTTGAATAGGGTTTTTCCTGTTCGTCTGTTTATTTTCGTTAGCGTAATTAGAAGATGACGTTTATCTGAACAGTGTGACGTATTTGCGCAGTACACATCCGATACATTCCATACTGGTTTCAGGTTAATGAAGGCCTGACTTGCGTTTCCGATCCTGGGTGCTTTGCCATCCTCGTCTATGCCACCACCGCCTGTAGTTGAAACGAGGCTGTCTTGCCTAGGTAGGTGAAAGAGACAACTTCTTTTAGATTCTTCCCACTGATGGCGATTGGTGCTTGTTGTTGTTGTTGGTTGGGTATCTTCATCACCTCTGTCTTCCCTACATTCATTCATTCTTTACATTCGCTGCCTCGCCTATTCCGTCAACTTGTTGGTTTTCGCCTGTAGATCTTCGAGTTTGTGCGACAAGACATTAGACATAAATCATCATGGTGAAATCCAAATTTTCTTCTGGGTTCTTTTCATCGATCCAGCCAACGAATACCCATCTTCTCCCTCTTCACAGTTTCTTGCATGATACAGTCGAGTCCAGCTGACCACCATCAGGAAGATGATGGTGGTCACTGAGCTTTCCATTTATAATCACTTTGCATGTTTCGTCTTCATATGGCTGTTGAACGGGGTTGATAAAGGTTCGTTGTATTCCGTAGTGTTGAAGCAACTGCCAAATTACTTCTCGGTAGACGCTGTCAAAGGCTTTTTCAAAGTCAATGAAGTTGATGTGGGGAGTTGACTGCTATTCTATGCTCTATTCTGTGATGATGCGTAGCGTAGCGCTGCAAATTGACTCTCACATGATTTGTATTTCCTGAAGCCAGCCTGTTTTGGTCGTGTTTTGAATCCAACGCATCTTTTAGTCTTTCCTGGATGATGCCGCATAATATTTTGTTTGGGGTGGACAGGAGCATGATTCCTTGCCAGTTCTTGCAAAGACTTGGGTCTGCCTTCCTTAGGTGCTTTTCCTTCCTTCCTTGCAAATCTGCAATAGTGGTGTGATCATGTCCGCTGTTGTCTCTGAGTGCGTTTTCAGTGCTGGTCGAGGAAATCCATCTGTCCTGCTGCTTTCCCGGATTTCGGGAACTTTATGGCGTTCAGGACTTCTGCTTTTCTCGGAGGGCTTGTGTTCACTCCTCTCCCTCCTCTATCAGCTTACATGCATCCGTGGAGATCCATTCCCTGTCCTCTTTCTTTCTTACACGGTTGTGCAGGTTTATTTCCACATAGCTTTCAAAGAGTTCCAGTGTTCCTCCATGCCCGATCCTTGAGGGATGTTGCTCAATCTCTCCCTTTTTGTTCTGATGGCTGATGTGAAGATGTCCTTTGTAGTTCCGTCCTTCAGTTTCTGTTCTGGGTGTTCAACTTGAATTTAAACTGTGGTCTATCACCAACTTCTTTGAAGGCTTTCAACTTGATTTTGAAGGTAGGGTCGTTGCACGAGATAGTGAGTGTTGTGAACCTACATCTGCTCCCCTTCTTGATCCGATCTTGTGTTCAGTGGGCTGCGTCTCCACTTTCTTCAGATTGAAATGAAGTCGACCTGAGTTTTAGTGTGTCCATCTAGTGAAGTCAAATCCATGTCACTTTGTGAATATCCTTGTGCTTGTGCACACTGCCTCCAATCATCAAATCATTAAATGCGCCGAAGTCTGCAAACCAGCCTTCATTCTCGTTCATTTAATCGAGTGCTTCTCGACCTATGATCAGTTCTCTTTCTGTGTTGTCTGCTCCTAGTTTGGCATTCATGTCACCCATTAGAATGGATTTTGATGTCACCAACTGGGGTGGGGTCTTGTCCAGTACTGATTGCAGTTGTCTATAGAATTCCTCCTTCTTCTTCTGTTGATCTACATTATTTGTGGGTGCATGGTTTAGCATTGTATGATTGTGACTTCCCTTCCGTTTGAGTTGAATTTTGCTATCGTGATGCTGATTCTGCAGGAGGAGATTGGTTCCCACTGCATGAGAGAGAGTCTTCGATGCTCTTTGGGACATCATGATAGCCACTCGAAAACTCAGTGTTGCTGTGCTGGTGGTTGTCGTCGGGGTGACAATATCGGAGTAGATTATTGACTCTCCAGTTGATAGTTTGGAGAGTCCACTTCCATTCCATCTGCAGATTCCTAGTCTGGCACTTCTATGTTATATCTTCTCATCTCTCTGGCAATGTGGACAGCCTTGCCAGCTAGCCTCAAACATTGTGTGGATATTCCATGTCCGCATGCTTACTTTCGCTTTCATTGAGGGAGAGAAGACACATCTTCCAATTGGCTTCCCGAAGGCTTTCACCAACCAGCGTCATTTCATCTCTCTGATTCCAGCGAGGAGTAAGTTTGTTTTTATTTTTT